TTTGTTGTTCTTGTTTTTAAGAAAGAGTCTCACTACGTAGCCCTGACTGGTCAGAAATCCATTATGTAGTCAGGCTGGCCTTGAACTCACAGAGACCCACCTGCCTCTGCCACCAGAGTGCTGGGATTAAAGGTGTGTGCCACCACACTGAACAGAAACTAGAATGTTCAAAAATATATTTTCCTAAACCTCAACAAATTTAGTGAGTAGCAGAATAGTGTCACTAAAGATACAAGGCCTGGAGAGCACACAGAACCCTGAAAACACAAATCAGAGCAAGCTCTCTGGTTTAGTAAAGTTTAGTTTACACTTAAGTTAGACCTAGTAAACATGCTAACAGAAATTTCCAACGATGGTTACAAATTCAAGAATCAAATTTAAAGACAGGAACCACATCAAAGACATTTACTTAAGAGTTACATATTTGCCGGGCGGTGGTGGCGCACGCCTTTAATCCCAGCACTCGGGAGGCAGAGGCCGGCGGATCTCTGTGAGTTCGAGGCCAACCTGGGCTACCAAGTGAGTTCCAGGAAAGGCGCAAAGCTACACAGAGAAACCCTGTCTCAAAAAAGCAAAAAAAAAAAAAAAAAAAAAAAAAGAGTTACATATTTTACCCGGATATCCTGGTACACACCTGTAATCCCAGGACTCCTACTCAAAACTGAAGCAGAGAGTTTGCAAGTTTAAACTGAGGTGAGGGACTTAGTAAGATGCTGACCCAAAATGTTGGTTTTTGGGTTTCTTTTGGCTTGGGAGGGCTGTGTTTGTATTTGAGACAGGGCCTCACTGTGTAGCCCTAATTGGCCTGAAGCCTGCTTTGTAGACCAGACTGTCCCTGAACTCACAGAGATCCATCTGCCTCGGCAAATTTTTTTTAAAAAGGCTAGGCATGATGACACACGTGACCTTTAATCCCAGCCCTAAGAAGACAGAGGCAGGTGTATCTCTCTGAGGCCAATTCCTGCCTGCTTTACATGGCAAGTTCCAGGACAGCCAGAGCTACAGAATAAGGCCCTGTCTCGAAAACTACATAGAAATTAAAAGTAACAGGGCTGGGGATGTAATTCAGTGGTAGGGCAGTTGCCTAGCATATATAAGACTCTGCGCTCAATCGCCAATATATGCCATCAAAAAAGCAAAGAATTAACTCTTTTAAGATTCTAGGACAAATCTACAGTAAATGAACACAGGTGGGGTTACCCACAAGCAAACGCTGGGCAGTGTCCACTTGAATGAATGGGGAAGAACTGAAGCTAGATAAACACTTGAAGGATTAGGTCCTTAGAGTAACTTAGCTCCTATTAGTACAGCTTCTGAAACTCACTTTAAGTAACAGTAACCACAATGAAATACACATTAACCAATGACCTTTTTCCTGGTAAGGACCTCTCCCTAAAGACCATGAGGAATACTACTGTAGTTCAACAAGTTAAATCAACCACTTACTTCGGCACTGATGTACAAGAACACACCAATGGCAAGCCCTGAGTTTCCTATTAAGAGGGTATTAGAAAAGAAGTCTATGGGCCGGGTGGTGGTGGCACACGCCTTTAATCCCAGCACTTGGAAGGCAGAGCCTGGCAGATTTCTGTGAGTTCGAGGCCAGCCTGTTCTATAGAGCGAGATCCAGGATAGGCACCAAAACTACACAGAGAAACCCTGTCTTGGAAAAAAAAAAGAAAAAAGAAAAAGAAAAGAAGTCTATAACTGGAACTTGAGCTGGGTGACTTAAGGGAGGGTGTACTGCCATCAGGAAGTGGGAAGAATTCTATGACCGGACAGCTTAATAAATTTAACTACAGCATGAGATTCAAGTGGAACTGGTAAAGAATGTTGAGGATCTGTATCCACATGGAGTGGTTTTGCTCTTATGCCCATAAACAGGGTGGTGTTATCTGACACTGATATTCTGTACAATTGTTTATTGTCAACGGGACACCACTGGGAGTCCCAAACCATTTCCTGGAAACACAAAGGCCTAAACCATAAAACATCTGTAGCTGTCATGGCTGCTTTTCCCTTTATTCCTAAAAGTGTACAACAATTTACATAAGACTATTTCAGCCACAAAAGTATGCACAAACTATTTAGTGGATAATGGGGGCTGGATTGGTAGGAAAGGCCTAGGTACAAAACACAGTAAGAATGTTTATAATTTAAGGATTAAATTCCATCCCCCAAATCAACTGAAAGAAAGCTAATGGGATTCCATACTGTCCAGACACTCTATAAAATGTACAATTACATTTTCCATGGCATTATTATCAGGTACTTTTCCCTAGTAGCTACAAACAGTATGTAGATAAAAATAGTTTTCAGGAAAATAGTTTCACCGAAAGACCTGGACTAGAAACCCATTGTTCATTATGTATTGATTCTGGTTAATGCAACATATGTTCTTTAATCTATGTCTAGGATTCCTCATTTAAAAATGGAAATACTACTTACTACAGAGTTATAAAGAAAAAACGCATCACATATGTACCAGAGAATCTAATACTTGTCACTATACCAGTTAGTTTACTATCCCTGTATTAGCACAGTCTTTGTGTAATTAAACATTCACTTTTAAAAAGTATCCAGGCTGGAGGTGCAGCTCAGAAACAGAGCATGTACATTGTATGCATAAGATTCTGAATCAATTTCCAAACTAAGAAAGGACCTACTTTAACCTCTTTAACCTACTCTAACCTATTTTAACACCACAAAAAAGAAAAAGCAAGAGGAAGAGGGAAGAAAGGAAGGGGGTAAGAGGGAGGGAGGGAGGGAGGGAGGGAGGGAGGGAAAGTCTCTAGATTTCAGTCATTATTAACTGATAGATGGTTGTCATAATCCAAGTCAACACAAGGGAAAATGTTATCTCTGTCCTTTTCTCTCTCACGTATTATCCCCAATACGGAAACATGAGGAATGGAACATGACTCCTCTTGTAAACCATCATTCTAGACTGCAAGAGATGCTAGACTTGTCGGGAAGGTGGGTAAAATAAGACATGATCCTTGCCCTAATATTTAGATCATATCCCCTGCCACAATGAGTTTAGTCAGTCTAGGATTTGGGGAGCAAATATGAGATAGTTTTAAAGGATTCAGTAAAGATACCAACAATTTAAATATGTCTGGAACTTTCATTAACTATATAGTGAGTTCCAGGATAGCCTGATCATATTATATGGCAAAACATTGTCCCAAAAATAGCCTTATTATTGTTGTTGACATTGGGTTTTGGTATGTATGTCTACTTGTTACTGAGCTGGGGTTGTAGCTTAGTTAGGAGATCACTGCCTAGAAGGTGTGAGACACTAGATTCCGTCTCCAACAGCTGGTGGGGGCTGATTTTGTTTGGTATGGCAGCTCATACTTATAATCCCAGTACTTGGGAGGGTGAAGCGTCAACAGCGCAGACTATACAGTGAGACCCTATCTCGAAAATATTATACCCCAAAAATATTAAAAGTATAGGAGGCAGCAGCCTGCAGAAAATGACTCCAGCAAGAGAAAAGGACTAGGGACAGACCCACAGGAAGAAATAAGATGTAGTCAGGGGGCAAGAGCAAGCACCTGTTTAAGAGCTGCAGCACACAAAGGGAAAGATGAAGTTTCCGTTAATCCACCCAGAAAGGGTCTCACAGTCCCTCAGCAGATGGTAGTCACGTGAACTGACTATAGGTACATCCATATTTGGACAAATCACTCCAAATTTTGCGAAAAAGCATATGCTATGTTGCTGAGGGGAACAGGACACAAACTTGGGAGTGAATAAATCCAGGAAAGCATTTAAAGCTTGAGCGGCTATTACAAATACACCAGGAACAGGAACGGCAGGCATGCATGGAGGAGCTTGGCTATGCGGAATTGTTACTACACGTGCTCCAACACTTCTGTCTACTACTCAGGAGGCACATCACAGTACATTCGGAAGGATGTTTAAAAGTGTGGAGAGCTGGCGACTCAGCCAATAAAGGCTAGGCTCACAACCAAATGACAGTGTGGAATTTGCTTAAGTCTGTAATAGTCTGAAAACCACATTTGAGGAAAAAAAGTGTCCTGAAAGCATCCTTGCGTGTTTGCCTTACCTAAACCTATCTGCCCCCTCCCCAGATCATGGGGCTGCAGGACATTCAAAAGATCTTCTCAATGGAAGCATGTTAGCAGATACTTGACACCAGAAAGTTCACAGAAAAAAGGGAAAAAAGACAGTGTCTCCCTACTTTACTCGGGGATCGTTTTTTGCTTTTCAACATGAGAAGCCATCTTCCACATAAAATTCAGCTTCTCGGGATTACTGGCTTTCTATAAAGCCCTACACTGTGAAAGGAGAGAGAACTAACTCAGTTTTGTCCTCTGACCTCCACATGCACGTCGTGGCCTGCGCTCCGCCCCCCATCACACACACACACACACACACACACACACACACACACACACACACACACACACACACACACGTACGATCCCCCACACCACACACACACACTCAACTCATCAAGCAATCACACTGAGAAAACAACACTGCAGATTTCATACAGATATGGAGAAGATTAAGTCTGACTTGCAAAGTGTGAAAACATTAACCAGTCCCCGAGGTGCAAGCACTCAGCGCAGCCGCGGCGCGCCTGCCTGAGAGAAGGCCAAGGAGCCAGCTCTGTCTCCGGGGCGTCGCGGGTAGCTGATGCCTCGGAAAGCGTCAACGCGTTGTCAGGCAACCGGCTCTCAACCACCCAGGCGGCAGCGGCCACCCGGGAGTCGGCGGCGCGTGTGCAGGGCACCGCCCCCGGCCTGGCAGCCGAGACCCGCACCGGGGACGGAGCCGGGCCACCGCCTCGCGACCCGCGCCTCCCGACCGACCGACCGACCGCGACCTGTACCCTGCACCTCCGCACCGCCCCCGCGACACCCCGAAGCTCCCCGGCCCCGCCCGGCAGGCTCGAGCCCCGGCCCAGGCGCGGCGACCCCGAGCCCCACCCCGCCGCCCCCCACACCCGCCGCCCACGGACTTACTCCCACAGACGAGGAGGAAGCCCGACCCGGCTCCACAGGCGATGTCGGCGACCCCCCGGCGCGGACCAAATAACCGGTCGCCCGCCCTGGCTCCGCCTCCCAGGCCCGGCCCCCCGCCCGCCCTCCACCAACCGCCAGGCGCGGCCCCGCCCCTGCGAGCGTGCAGCTGGCCGGGGCCGCGCGGCCGAGGGCGCCCCCTGCAGTCCTGGAGGCCACACGGCCCCGTGTCCCTGGCCACCCAAGCACTGGAGGGTCTCCACTCTCAGCATCCTTCTGACAGGCGTTACTCCCAGCCCAGCAGTCTGGTCAACTCTGTCTAGGGCTTTCATTACCATTTCAACATGTTATTCTGTGTACGTTCTTGTCACCACTGGATGTCTAGCTCCTCAGGGAAACGGAACTAATGATACTAATGTATTCTAACATCCCTAGTGTGTCCTAACTTATACTGTAAGGTGCTATCTTACTCGGGGTTTTGTTATTTTGACACAGGGTGTCAAGTAGTTCAGGGGGATGGGGGGTGTCGAACTCTTCATCTTCCAGCCTCCCTGCCTCCGATTTACAAGAGTGGAACAGCGTCCTACCTGGTTTGTTTGGTCCTTGCTTTGTTTTGTTTGCCTCTCCTCCTTGACTTTTTGAGACAGGTCTCCTGTAGCCAAGGCTAACCTCAAATTGTTATGTATGGAAGGCTTTCCTTGAACTCATCCTCCTGCCTCCACTTCCCAACTGCTGGGACTACAGGCAGGTTCAACCACGCTCGGCTTTATAAGGTAGTTAAAAGCCCATTTTCTCCAACTTCTCAAGACAATGCCAAAACCAACAGCTGTGGGGAAGAGTTAACAATTCTGATTTTGTTTTTAGCTAACTTGTCTGCTAAGAACCTCATTAGAAGAGGATACAACACAAAGCTTGCCGGGCCAAACAAACGTCATGGGAAGCGGCTACAGAGCCTTCCAGAGCCTGTGGAAGGGACGGTTACAGTCAAAGAGTTCGTGGAAGGCATCTGTAAACTGTAATTTTGTTTTGTTTTTTGAGACAGGGTTTCTCTGTGTAGCTTTGGAGCCTGTCCTGGAACTCACTCTAGTCCAGGCTGGCCTCGAACTCACAGAGATCCGCCTGCCTCCCGAGTGCTGGGATTAAAGTGAGCGGTAATTTTTAAAGAGTACTGTGTGATCTAAAGCAGAAATGTCAGGAAGTGCGTTTCAAGCAACGCTTAACAACGAATTATATTACTAAGCCAAGGGGAAAGTACTAATAGAATGAAAAGCTAGGTGGGGGAAGCTAGAAGATGAAGCTTGGAGAAATCTGTAGGAACTGTGTTACGAAGAGTTATGATATTTTTCTAAGCAAAAAAAATTATTAGTATGAAAGAAAACAAACACAAATTCAATGCACACACCTTTAACTTACAATCTAGTGAGTATTTGGGGACGGAAATGGGAAGGAAGAAAACCTGAAAACACTGACGACTGGAACAAGTTTCACTTTAACTGCGGGAAGAAAGAGCTGAGATTAATTCTGCACTGAGATAAATGACGTTCACGGCAGTGAAGACAAACTTAAAAAAGAGTACTAAGGCAGTCACAGCTCCTAACACTTGTATAAATGTTACCTTATAAACACCTCAAAAAGTCAACCTTAGCAACGCGGGAGTTTTGCTTTCCTCCTCGCAACAGTTGCGAAAACACAAAAGCGAAATACCAACCCCAAACGTGAGGTTTTCCACTCCGCGAAGAATTGCCTTAAAAGAGATTGTTACGTTTAACTTCCCCCTCCAATGTCAATCTCCAGAGCTGCTTACACCCCGGTTTTTCTAGAAACATTTAGTATTCAAAACAATTTATTTCATTTAAAGTATCTACACTCAAATCAAAACAGTCCCCAGCCCAAGGCTCCACCTCCACGCAATATGGCGGAGACTGAGTCTGCGCAGTACGGACCGCGACGGCCGATTCCTTTCTGGCATGTCAACAAGCCCTTCTTCCGGCGCGAAAGGCTGAACCATTCCCACCCCGGCACTTTCTGTCCTTCGCAATTCACACGTACAGCTTTCCGAGGCGGCATGTCCTCGTCTCATCCGCCAATCTCTTCCTAGTTCACCGGCCTCTCAGTGTTTTCTCTAGCGTCGCGCCGCCGCCGATCCCCGGCCACCCGAGTGGTCTGGACCAACGTCACCTCCGGTCCTCAGTGTCATGGCCGCCTCGAGAGTCTAGTGAGTGTGCACCCGTGGTGGGGAAGGTGCCCAGCCCGCACGCGGAGGCCCAACGAAGTAAAGTTTCATCTCGGCTGTGGAGGCGACAGCTTCTCGGGTCCCTCGGCCATGGCGGCTTCCGGGAGTGGTATGGCCCAGAAAACCTGGGAGTTGGCCAACAACATGCAGGAAGCGCAGAGTATCGATGAAATCTACAAATACGACAAAAAACAACAGCAAGAAATCCTGGCGGCGAAACCCTGGACTAAGGAGTGAGGAGGTCCCTGGCGAGACGCAGGGGAGGGAAGGGATGGCGGGAGTTAAGAGACCCAAGAGGGGTGGAGTGGAGCGGGGTGGACAGCTTGGTTATCTGAGGGGCCGCGACAGACAGAACACCCGCCACAGTGGGTTTAGTCTGCCTTATCCGGGTCGGTAGAGCCTGACCCTCCACTGGGGCCCGCTTCGATTCCCCTTTCAGAAAATTCCTTTAACCGACTTGCCTCCGGGGGGTGTAAAGGGCTGATTTAGGATGTCACTTTCTCAACATGATTATTTTCATAAATCTCACACACTCTGTCTTGAACCTGGTGACTACATGCACCTTGTTGCAGCGTTCAGTGGATCCTAAACTGAAGAGCGAGGCTGTTTTCAGAAATCAAATTAGCAGGCCACTGATCTTTAAAAAAATAAAAAATAAATGAGCTCTTTAAGAGATTTTTTTTTAGCACTTTTTTTTCCTGTAACCATTTTAGAAACATACCAACTCCTTTACCAGTTCTCTAAAATACTACTACAACGATTCGTGTAAGCCAGGAATTATGAAATGGCTGTTTGCCCCCCTGCCAAATCCATGCATTTCTGGGATTGGTGACAAGTCAAGAAATTCTTTAAAGCAGATTGCATTCAGGAGAGTGAAAAAAAAAATCACAAAAAGGTGCTATCTAAACTAATCACCGTTTTCAGGGTTTTTGTTTTGTTAGCAAAGCTGGCTTTAACTATCAGTATATTCTATTTTCACGGTATGTATTGAGTACTTACAATGGGCCTGCCACTGGCCAGAAATTTTTCCTGTCATTTAATAATCATGACAACCCAGTCCTGTACTTTCATTCCTTCTCAGTAAATAAGAAAACAAGGAGGTACATTCAGACATTCACCTCATAGCATACTATAGCAATGAACAGACTGAAAATCTGTTCTCACGTGCTGAACTCAGGAGCGACAGACTGAAAATCAAGTCTCACAACTGTCACTTAAACCCTTGACTGCCCTTAGGAAACTGAAATATCTAAACTTATCTGTAAGATAAATATAAACCTAGCTATTGGTGATGTTATGTAGTAATTTATTAAGACGTTCTTGATGAACCATATGTAATAACAGCACAGTAATGGTTGTTTTTCTCTTTTTCCCCAGTAACAGACGAGCAAATTTTTAACTTATGTCTTGATTTCCAAGATCAAGTCTCAGTATCTTTCAGATTGTGGTTGAAATCTAGCAAGAGCTGGAAATAACACTCGGTTGCTTTCTCTAGGCAGGCATCCAAAAAGCCTTGGAGACACTGGGTGACCTGCATAGATTACCTGGTTGTTCCTAAAACTGCACATTTTAAATTGATGTAAATTGCCAACTTTCCTCACCATCTTTGGCTCTGATTATGTTCATTCGAACATGTAAGCTACATCAGTGATTTTTAAATATGCATGTTGTTCAAGAGTTTAATCACATACAATAGTGACAACCTCAAAATAGGAGTCATAGGGGAAGTGGGGGTGTTAGATCTACTTTCAGATGATATCAGAAGGAAGCCACATGCTTCAACACACTGAGAGGATGTTAAGAGGCAGGGTAATAAGGGTAATAACAGCACCTTAGATTTTAGTGTTTCCGGGACTGAACTAAACACTTCGTGTACTTTTCATACTAACTGTGAAATACCTATTTACAGAAATACCTATTTACACAGACATTAAGTAGCCAAGATTTAAACCTAAACAGATCGATTTCAGAGGCCACATTTGTAAAATTTAGGTCCTCCAGATCAGTAAAAGTGCTTGCTATTAAGCATGCAGATCTGAGTTCAAATCTCCAACGCCTATGTAAAAATCCATGCATGGATGTGTGTGTGTGTCAGCGTTTCATGGAAGGAAAGCAGAGACAGGAAGATCTGTAAGTCAGCATAGCCAAAACAATAAACTTCCAGTGAGAGTCTCTGTCTCAAGGAGATAAAATGGAATAAAATAAAGGAAAATGAATGGGCGTGGCAACACATGCCTTTAATCCCAACACTCAAAGCTCCAAGGCCTGCATGGTCTACAGAATGAATTCCAGGATAGCCAGGGCTATGCAGAGAAACCCTGTCTCAAACAAAAAGATAGAGGAAGACACCCAATACCCTGTTATCTCTATGTGCCATCTGGTGGCACACCAATCCATGTACCACACACAGTAATTAAATAAATAAATTTAAGTCAGAAATTTAGGCCAGAGAAAGTAATCAGAGAGATGATTATTCCATGTTAATGGAGGAAAAAAAAAACCTATGGAATTGATGATATTCCCTCCCTTCCATAGTAAATTTAAAATTTATCTCAGACTCTTCACTTTCCCCAAGGAGCGGGTGGGGAGTGGGGGTAACAACTTGTGACGTGTTATTTCCAGGCACCTTGTGCTTACTGATTTCTTTTTCCTCCCACATTCCACACTCCCATTACTGTAAATCCCTTCAGTACTCACTCTTTGTTTTCACAGAAACAGTCTTGAAATTGTACATTTCAGTAAGAACCTAATCACGCTGTGATCTTGTTTTGTAGTCACCATTACTTTAAATACTGCAAAATCTCGGCGTTGGCTCTACTGAAAATGGTAATGCATGCCAGATCAGGAGGCAACCTGGAAGTGATGGG